TTTCAGCCCAGCCCAGAATGCCTACCTCTTCAATTCTAATGATTTGTCTCAAAAGTGCCTGACTCAACCCCAGAATCAGGCTTCTTGCCTGCCTGGCTGCAGGCTCGAATTCTTGCAGAAAGCTGCCTCCATGCTGTCCCAAGAGGGTTGCTTGCCGAACAATCAAGATAACGGCTTCAGGTTTAGGGGTGCCTAGGGTTCAGCGTCAAAAACCAGGTTTCGTAAGTTCGCTGCCTAGGGTTCAGCGTCAAGAACCAGGTTTCGGGAAATTGGGGGATTATGTAAGATTTTGTGTGCGGATTTTTTGGGGACTTTTTTAGACTTAGGGTCGAGGGCTGGGCATTGCCGCGGGGCTTCACTATAAACCTAGGTCGGATTTAACTACAACTTTAGCACGTTATAATTCGTGGGGGTTTCTCGATTTCATATGGAAGATGTCTATCTTTGGATGATGTTTTTGTAATCAAGATGGTTGTTTGTTTCTTGCCTTTTCAATTCCCAAGAAGATCGAACCCCCCCGGCCGGCTGAAATATATGACACTGTATATTTGCCTTGTGTGTGAAAACGGAAGGGATTCTATTGGTTGGTGCGTGTAGCCGTGGTCCACTCTATGTATGGATTTCCCCCGCGCACCTGGCAGGGGTTTAGGGTCCTCTCGCACAGCCCCCTGTACGAAGGACTGTCGGACTGAAAGGTTAGGTGAAGGGGAGCCCCCATTTTTGGAAAAAATCCATTCACATCAATTGGCATCTTTACACCTGGGGTCCCTCCACGGGTCAGCATTGGAGCATAGAGGCTACATCGGAAAGGGTTGTGAAGTTGTAACCGTCACAGCTCACATTGTGTGGGCGGAAAGTGGGAGCGGGCAAGGGTGGCAAGGTGCTATGGGGTGAGGAGCTTCCAACCTTGTTTGACATTCCTCAAAACTTCTCGGACCATCGCGTGCACAGCCCCAAAACAGACAGGCAGCGAGCACCGAAGATTCTACAGCTGAAGCCCTATTCGTAGACTCCGGAACCAAAAGCTTGTTGAAATCATCAGGTTCACAGCCCAAACCTGGCTTGGCCCATTTGTGCCGCATCAAAATCTCGGCAATTCTCAGATACAGGAAATGCCTTCCTCAATTTTTGTTCCAACCAGGTCATGCATGTTCTCCAATCTCATCGCATGCCCCACCCCCAATACACAGTCCGACAACATGATGCCCAACACAGTCCGTCAAGTGCCGAGGGATCAAGGTGGCCGTTGCTTCTGGCGATGTTCGAAAACCTGATGCTCAGCTTTTAGGTCCAAAAGGTGTTCCGGGCCGCTTCGGGGTTAATGTCCGTGGTTATCTCTCTGGCAGCAGTATGATGCGGGGTTCAGTGTGAAATATAGGGTTGTATCTAGGGAATATGGGATTATGGATCATCAGGTTGGGGGTATCCAAACATTTCGGGACGGAGGTCTCTGGGGCTCGTTGGCTTTGAGGATGCTAGGATTGGAGGCCCAACTGAGCATGCCCTAGGGTTTAGCAGAACTTGGGTCGAAGAAGACTTGTTTGGATCATGGTTGAAAGTTGAATGCTTACTGGAGCGTATCTTGAAAATAGTGTATGGCGGTAGCTGGGTTAATTGTAACTTTCTGTTCAAGTGTTATTTAATTACCCGGCACGTGCAAAGTGTGGGCAAGCACAGAATTTGGAGGTTTGCACCGGGCTTCGGGATACTTTTGGACCCTAAACCCTGAACAAACCCTACAAAGTCACAAGCCCCAAACAAAGCGGAACCTCAAACAACATGTTCAGCGCGCGTGCTAAGGGAGTTAAGACTTGAAGAATTTTTGGGGGTCTGAGCTTGCAGAGCCTGCTCCAGTTCGGGACCCGTGACGTTCAGACATGTGAGTTTCCCAGTCCCTGCACCTTCACCCCGCAGCCTTCTGTATCGTTTGCACATATTTTGTTTCAGCTTCAAAAGCTGAACTTCCCATCCCTGGCAGCCCAAATACTATGGTTGCTGGTAGCGCGATTTCCCTGAGCTGACCAGACATGTTATAACACAGTTCACACTTCAGGAAGACTGTGAGGCTGCTGTGTGCCTTGGCCATGTTTCGCCGAGAAAGCCGTGCTGGTAAACAGGGAAGTCGTGATCGTGATCATGATTCAACCATGACACCTATCCAGTAGCATCATTTATCTGTCAAATTTTCACATTATTTGGGGTGAGGCTTCAGGATTCAGATCCGGGGTGACACCGGTTCCATGAGACGACAGGTAACTTGTTTCCCTGGAATTGCCAAACTCTAAGCTCTTGCCGGAAGGTTTCGAGCATTTCCGGATGCTTTCTGTGGAGCTTTGGAGGGCTTATGGGCAGAAGTTAAACTTTGCAACCTGAGGACTTTGCCTTCTTGGACAAGGGCTGGAAGAGAGCTTCAAGTTAGAACCCCTCTTGCTTTGACTGTTTGGACAATGAAATGGATCCCCTGTGGACGCAAGGAAGGTGGCAGTGGACACATTTGGAGCTCTTGACATTCTTGTGCAGCTCGGTGGATCTCAGAGTCCCAAGGTCACTGAGAAGACTCGTTTCGGTGCTAGGCGGCCATTGGCTGAGCGGTAGTATTTCTTTCTCAAAGTAAGGATCTTCAAATCAGGTTGCCACAATGGTGTTTACAATAAAATAGTAAGGTTTTGGTGTCTGTAAATTGTGTCTTCTTTTAGCAACTTGGGGGACTCCAAGTGAAAGGCATACCATGTATTCTTCTGATGTAAAAAAAAAACAGAACCTGACTGTTTGCCCATGTGACATGGGGTCCTCCAGGTCGTTTTTGTCTTCAGGGTCCATGGTTGCGTTCCAAATGCAGACCTTGGCATTGCAGTTCTGGGGTTGCCCAAGAGCATGCGCCCCTTTCTTGAATGCACTCGTTATAGTGTAGAAGTTTCGGCGTAGTCGAAGGTTGAGATTCCTTGGCCCAACCACAGCACGGGATCCTAGACTCAAAACTCAAAATTCTCAGACGAAGTAAAATGGCGCTCGGGTAGATGATGTTCGAAGTATCGGTGAGAACTGCAGTGTCTACTCCAGCTTGATATGTTTTGATCGAAAAATCAGAAATCTTGTTTGCGAATGACCTGCAGCAACAACCATGCCAGGAAGCCTTCTGGACGTGGGACGAGCCCCAAGAAGCCCATATCTCTGATTCTGAATACGCTAGACTGCTTAAGAAAAGTCATAACACTGAGCCCCCCTAATACATCCCAAGCCCACAACTCCCCAAAAAAGCTGGAAGCGACGTGTGCAAACCCAGGAACGCCGCTGCTGGCAATTTTTTGGCCGCTGCGGAAGAGATTTCCAGCAAGGGCTTCAAGACAGTCATGGAGCCACGGTCTGATTTGAGAATGCCAATGCTGGGTTGAAGGATTCAGGTGTGTTTTTGGGATTGTGAGGGTTTCTAAAAATGGGGGTGGGGCTGGAATCCCGCAAGTGTAGTTTTTTGGATTTGAGGATCTGGCTTATTGCCTGGGGTTTCGGGCCAGGGGTTCCCATTATTAAGAATATCAAGTAATCGGGTACAGAATGGGCTCTCGACTATTTCTTGAAACTACCAGGCACAGGTGCCTGGAATTGATTGGTGTAATCATTTGCTATGATCTGATATTACCCCGGGCTTACTTGTGCTTCTAGTCCCGCCTATTCTGGATGATGCGTATTTTTGGGGAACTTGCATACGCGGGTAGGCAGGCAAGAAGCTAGTTTGTGTTCTCAGTGATGGGTGTAGGGCTTTACCTAGCCTCTAGCCCCTCTACCTCAAGATCTCAAGCTTCAGGTTTGCAACTTCCAGGCCAGGTTCATGCCTAGCGTTTGTGAATTAAATGATTTCTTTGGAAGTGAACCATGCAACCCTAAAACATCTAAAGACGTAATGTATTCGATAGCGGCGAAGGAGCTCTCCAACCCTATTCTGATTGACTTGAAACTCGGACCCAAATCTACTTACGTGGCCGCCTTTTTTCCTAGGGTCTAGTCTAGTGCTAAGGGTGCTGTGGCTACCCCCTGGACCAAATTCCCCAGAATTCCCAGCACATGACCAACAATATTTCTTTTGGGATTCGGTTTTGGCTGGAGATGTGCCTGTGCCTTCAACGATCCAGTGTGAATCATCAGAGCAATCATTGTGTCATACCTTTCATTATGGTATCTCAGGAAGTCGCAAGGGTGCCAACCCTCATCTGCACAAGGCAAGATCAAACTGAAATCTTTGCTTTTTCTGTCAGGACATTGACACCGTGGGCTCCTTCAACATGTGCCGGAGCGCGTTCTCATCACTGACACTGCTTCCTCAAAAATCACGCTTTGAATTCTTAGTTCTTAAGGCCCTACTTACGGCTTGGAACGTTCGAAGGCTGAAATTCATTGTTTCTGAGTACCAGGTGTCTGTTTCAGACCCTTGTCAACTACAAGGAACATCCGGCAGGCGCGCTTCGCGTCAGTATGGTGATTCATTCCAGGGCGACGGAGGAAGGGCATGCTGTTGATTCGGCTAAAGCAATGCCGACGGAGCGCAATTTGCTTAAATCCCCTTATTCCATCCCGGAAGACCTAAAATCGCTGTTGTTTTGTCAGCATCATGGGCACCAGCATCATCAGCTTCATTTACGCTATGCTACTACATCTGCCAGGTGGTGTGGTGCCACAATCAACGCCGACACGACCGCAACCGCCAGCTCCTGTGTTGTGGCCGACGCCAACATTATTGCCGCCGCCATCACACACCCGGGCTGCCCCCCAACCATTATCACCACCGCACCGCCATCACCGCAGCCCGCCACCTCCACCACAACTGCCACTGTCACCAATAACTGCTTCTGAGCCACCACTTCTGCTGCAGTTTAGAGCGTCGGCAGCCGTAAGTCTGGACTACCAGAAGCGGTACACAAGAAGCCCCCAATCGCAAGACTTGAGATGGACGAACTCAAGGAAGACCTCCCGCTTTGGTGGTGTTGTCGTCAGCATCACGGCCACGCTGCACTACGGGGCTACATGGTGCTCGCGCTTGGTATTCTGATATTTTGAGTGTATGTGACACCTTTTGGGTATCAGGTTTGCGTGTTTGAGGTTGGGGAGCCTGGGGCTCAGGGGTTTGCAATTTAGGTTGGGGGTTTCAAGTATGAGGGTTGAGTCGAAGGGTCATGATAAAGGTTTTGGATTTGTCGGCTTTTGCGATGCTGAATGGGGCTTGTCTGACCGAAGCCTGGCATCATGCGTGATGGTCGATATCATGCACCAAACTACCATAAACCCCAAGCTTGGGAGACACACAGACCCACATCATCACAGCTATGCTCAGCATAGAAGCAAGCTAAACACTTGAACCAACTAGTTTTCATTGTCAGGTGTTGTCCGTGCATTAATACCGTATGCTATACCCCAAATATGCCACAACATCTGATTGAAGTCATTCAGCTCCATCACTTGCGTAAGTGTCTGCGACATCAACCGGAGTCTCTTCGGAAATATGTCCAGTTTCTCAATATCGGCAGCTTGTAGGGACCAGAGGGGGAGATAGACTAATTAATACATAGATAGATATATATATACATACATATATTATATACATGTATGAATATGTATATATATATGTATATATTTATAATGTATATATATATATATGTATATTTATAGAAAGGTTATGAGCAGATTTTTGGATCTTATTTTTCTGGAGGTATGACATGAAGAAGCTCCCATGTTAGAGGTATTGGCATGAGCTCACACATGTGTATGTCTGCGGTTCTTGTTTGCAACGGTGTGTGCTTGTCCTGACTTTGTCTGATGCTCGTAGAATCATCCCATATCTGGGTTCCTGACAAAAGCCAGCCCCCAACGCGACGACACACATCCAAAAGGGAGCCTTCTGGAGAAATCCTCGGCTAACAAGTTCAGGTACCAAGCTGCCCCAGTTGCAGCGAAAGCTGCCATCGACGCATTCACCCGCACACTGGCGCTGGAATGGGGCAGCTCGGCAGTGCTTTCTGCTTTGCAGGATCTATTTGGGGAACAGTTTGAGGTAAGCTCTTGTCCTGGTCCTGGTGGATGTATTTTTATGGTTCATTCAAGAGGGTCGGTGACCTATGTGAATGGACCGGTGAAGCAAACCGCAGCCAGATACAAGGCCTCTGAAGAGGGTACATGAAATCCTGTAAGGATTATCGTGGGTAGGGCTGGCAGCCCGGCAAGCCTTGAAATTAGGATCCAACAGGGTCCCCAAGATTTTGGAGAGGTTCAGTTTCAAACCTCCGTTTCAGGGTTGAGGCTGAGAGCCCATGCTACAGGGTCTGGGGAATATTGGGGCTTGGGCTCGCACCTGTGCTGGCTTTGATTTTTTGTTCATCCCCATCTCCCCAAAGAAGTGTCTTAAGCCAGGCTCATGATAAGCATGTGCTTTACCAAGCAGTCCAAACAGCACTGGTTAGTTTTGGGTTCGCTGGTTGCGCTTCTTTGCATGTCACCGCAGACAGTTTCATTGTTCCGCATGAGTAGTTGCTTCCATCAGCCGGCACATGCAGACCTTTGTAACCAAATCTGCCCAAGGCCCTAATGCGTGTTTCTGCTTTCCCTTTTGTGTATTTGTCTCTTTTTCCAAGCTAAGCCGACATTCTGAGCCAAAAGCCTCCCCAAGCCCTGAATCACCAAATCAATCCATCCTGACACCTCAAAACGCAGGTGTGAGTTTGCCGACTTTGGAGAGAACCCATCCAGTCGTTATGATTCGCATGTGTATTTTCAGGAACTTTGAGGGTACACCCATTTTGAAGACCCAGGTGAGTTCGGTGTGCGTTGCAACTGCGTGGCCCCAGGGCCCATTGCTGATACACCTGGCATGGAGAAGCTCAGTGGGGGCAAGGCGGACCAGGCCGAGCCCAAGAATTGATGCAATGGGTCCAGTGCGTCTCGGCTTTCAGGGTTTAGGGTTTAGTGCAGGGTTTGCGGGCTATGGTGTAGTTTAGCCAAGTAGAAGGAGGACATCTTGCGCCACCTTATCAGCAGCTTGCTGTTGCTGCTACCGCAGCTGTTTCATTGATGAAAAATACTAGCAAAAATACAAAGAATAATAATCATAACGATAACAACAAAAATAAACAGTAAGAAAGGACGATTAAAATAAACATAATGATAACAATAATTGATAATGGCTGTTGTTGTTGCTGCTGCTGCTGCAGCTGTTGTTGTTGTTGTTGGTTGTGGCGGTGGCTGTGGCGGTGGCGGTGGCGGTAGTTGTGGTGGTTGTGGTGGTTGTGGTGGTCGTGGTCGTGGTCCTCGTCTTCGTTCGTCTTTGCTTCGCCGCTGTCGTTCCTCTTTGTCGTCCTGGTCGTCGTGGTCGTCGTGGTCGTTGGGGTCGGGTGGTGGTGGTGGTGGTGGTGGTGGTGGTGGTGGTGGTGGTGGTGGTGGTGGTTGTGGTGGTGGTGGCGGTGGTGGTGGCGGTGGCGCTGGCGCTGGCGATGGTGCTGGTGCTGTTGCTGGTGGTGGTGGCGGCGGTGGTGCTAGTGCTGGTGGTGGTGGTGGTGGTGGTGGCGGCGGTGGTGGTGGTCGCGGTGGTGGTGGTCGTCGTTGTTGTGGTCGTGGGGGTTGTGATTGTCGATTTTGTGCTTGCATTGTCATCGTTCCCGAACAGTACGAAAACATGTTGCGCAACATCTTCACTTAGAGTTAGAGGACAAGTAAAATGTAAAATACTGTCCCCTACACACGAACAGTCCCTTAACAAGGCACAGGCTTGCAGGGATTGTGGGAGTATTGGGGCTGAACCTGTGACATCTAGCTTATTGCGTATGATTCAGGGAATAATGTGATCACGGATTTGTTGTGTGTGCCTTTTGCAGCTTGAAGAGGCATGTAGATTGAGGGACTTTCCATGAGCGCTTGGATTTTGGATCTTAGATAAACATTTGGAGCCAACAAACTCTGACCTTGAATGCGATTGTTGGAGGTGGATTGGACCTACATCCCGGCTAGACGGGCTGGGACCAAGTTTGCAACTCGGCAACAGAAGAAGCACCATAGTGCTGTGCTAGTTTTGAGGTTTTACATTGAAATTTCTGCCTCAGTCCCACATAGCGGATCCCTTGACATTGCCCAACAAACAGCGAAGAGCTTGTTATATGTGCTACGATCGGGCCTGGGCATTCAATCCTGAAACCCCAACCTCCGACAAATCCCATACTGTGTAAGCGATGATCCCGCACCATGTAAGCCTGCCCTTTAAGCATCTCCAAGCAGCCAGGTTTGCAAGTTGGGACCACTACTTCTGGAAATGGCAATGGTTGTACTAGCAGCAATTACAGTAATCGTACTAATGGTAACAAGAAGAATCGTAATAGCACCCATAGTAATAAGAGCAAGAATAGTAATACTTGTAAAATAGTAATAAGAGTAATAATTGTAATAGTAATACTAACAGTAATAGTAGTACTAGTAGTAATATGGTCATTAATAACAGTAGTATTGGCAAAACATGGTAATCATGCCCGTATAGGGAGAGCCGAGACCATGGCCCAAGGCTTCAGTGTAGGCCGCAAGGATCCAGCGCTTCATCAACTGTCAGGAGCACTGGCCCTAAACAAGGTTTCAAAAAAGCCGGGGCCCCAATATAGACATATATATATATATGATCGAGATACCTTTAGGGTCTATTTGACGTCCTGTTTAAATTAGCTAATATATAAATAAATTAAATAATTCAAATAATTCAAATAATTTGAATACATTCAATAATTTAAATAATTTAAAT